TATATATATATATATCCCTGTTTTATTTGTTTTTATTTTTATTTTTATTGAATTGTTAATATCTTCAATGTAGCCTTTCCAGTGCCTCACAAAGAGACTGACCTTCCATATAGTCCCTTCCCTAAAAAGGGCATTCTGCTCTGGACTGTTATCTGTGTTTTACTGGTCGATCTATTGTTTTTCTTGGTGGGCCTGCTTCTTCAAAACAAATGCAAAGGTACAGAAACCATGTCTCCCAGAAAGTAGACAGATATAAATAGACTGTTCATTCATGTTAATTTCCTAATATGTCAGGTATTAGATATAATTATTATTATCAGACTTACCAGATAAGTAAATTATACTATTAAAAGAATGCAACACAGGATTATGTTTTGCTTTTGTTGTAGTTTTTTTTAAAATGTTTTAGCTTCTGACATGTTGATTATTAGACATCATTGCGTTAACATTCCCTAACTTTTCCCTTGCTCTCTTTCCTACTAATGGATTTTTTTTTCCTGGGTTTTTCAGTATCAGCCTGTTTTTCATCAGTACAAGGTTCACGCTCATGTGAAGACAACACAGGTGAGAAACTGCATCCTTTTTCAGTGGACACAAAATAAAACAAAATAAAAATAAAATAAAGTCTCAGTCAGTGGATGTTCAGTTTGTGGTTAAAATCATGCAAACAGTTGAATGACCCACAGGGTCATTCTCTGAAACATCAGACAAATCTGAACAAAGTTCCCAAATGACTACCTCAGAATGAGCTAATTTCCTTCCAGAGTAACTTTGTACAGTGCATCCTGAAAGTATTCACAGTGCTTCACTTGCTCCACATTTTGTCATGTTACACCCTTATTTCAAAATTGATTAAATTAATTTTCACCTCAAAATTCTACACCCAATACTCCATAATGACAAAGAGACAAAGTGTAATAAAAAACAAAAATATAACAGGTCTGTAGACAGGTCTTGTTTGTAGACCTTAAAGACAAGTTTGTATCCAAGCACAGATGTATAGAAGGGTACAGAAAAAAAATTCTCCAGCACCTAAGGTGCCAGTGAGCACAGTGGCCCCCATCATTCGTAAAGTAGAAAAGGTTTGGAATTACAAGGGCTCGTCCTAGCCCTGGCCAGTCTGAGCAATCAGGGTAGAAGGGCTTTAATCAGGGCTTTTACTGCTCAGTAAAAGGGACACGAATGCCCATCTAGAGTTTGCCAAAGAGGAGGGACTCTCAGACCATGAGAATCAAAATGATTTGGTTTGATCTGAACCAGGTACTGCTCATTACCTGGCCACTGCCATGCCTTCAGTGAAGCAAGGGAGTCACTTCATCATGATGTGATGATGTTTTTTTCATCAGAAATCTCTAGCTGTGAGAGCAGTCCCTTCTTTCGAATATCAGATTCTCTAAGGTTGTAACATGACAAAATGTGGTACAAGTGAAGTGCTGTGAATACTTCCCAGACACTGTATATAATGAAGCCATAAACATTTTATTTTTCATGCTTTCAATATCAAGTACATCGTGGTGGGTCAAAATCTGGCACTTTTTGAATCACATTTAATTCACATTTATTCAGTTATTTTGAGCCCCTTTAACTCACATCCCTAAGCTCACATCCTGCTTATGTAATTTTTTTAGATTTTTCATTTGTCAAGTGTCCCTGACACAGAAAATACATGGTAACAGAAAAATGAAACAAAAGCATGCAATTTTTAGAAATGTTGACATTAAGTGAACATTATTATTTAAGGTATTTCTATATCATAACCATTTAACAATTTAGTAATGACAAATATCTTTTAATTGTAGTTCAATGATTAGATGCACCGGAAGCACTATAATGCATAATGATAATACAATACATACTGCGTCCATGAAATGCATGTTAAAAACTCCACATTACATCCTCATAACAACCCCACCCTCTTTTTTTTTTTAACATTTCAGTCTTGCAAGAGGAGTACACACAAGTGTCATATGGCCTGGTAGAGAAAGGTAACCTTTATGAGTCACTGATATTTTGTTAGGGTTTTTAAGAATTAATGTACATAAATGATAGCATGTGAGAAAACTCTTTCAAAGTTTTGTATTATCTTGTTAGATGGAGACAACTGAATTGCCATTGATCGCAACCACAACTACTGCTTTGTATGCATCTATCGAGCTTTATATAAAATGATTACTTAACACAGGTGAGAAATATACAGAGAAAATTTATAGAGAAAAAATAGATTTTGAATTTGATACATGTTTCCAAAACAGAACTGGAAGTATCCAGGGAAGACATCGAGACTGTCATCTATTCTTCAGTGAATTGAGGCTCATGCATCCACCCATCCTATCCTGCTTATCCACTGTTGCCAACTCTTCAGTAAGGAGACTATCTCAGTGTCATAGGCCGGGAGGTGGTGTACACCTTGGACAGGTCACCAGTCTGTCACAGGGTTAACACATAGAGTCAGACAACCATTCGTACTCACATTCACCCCTGTGGGGAATTTAGAAACATCAATTAACCTAACCCTACTAACTGACTTACTGACTGAGGCCCATACATTTTTTATTTGCTGGATTTTCTTTTGCTAGACTATTAAACATTAAAGGTTATTATGCTATTAACACAGATTTCTTTTTTTCTCTCTCTCTGAAATGGCACATCTACATTCTTCTGTGTGTATTTTAAATTTTGTTTATTTTGTATTGTCTGCTTTTGTATTTTTTTTTTAACTTTTAGCTTTTTTTGTTTTTCTGCAGTCAGTGTAATTTGTAAAACCAAAACAATAAAGGAACAAAAAATAACAAAGTACCGTATTTTTCAGACCATAAAGCGCATCGGATTATAAGGCGTAATGTCGATGAACGGGTTCTGACTAACATGAGGTTAGCCATTAATAAACTGCAACAACACGATTGTGGATGGATTATCTCAGTTGTTCTCCTGAATGAAGTTTGGTCCGTTTACAGCATCCTGCCATGCGATTGCATTTGTCCCCAACCATCAGGAAACCTCATGTTAACTTTTATCAAGTGGAAAAAAGTTAGCATTCATTCTCCAGCTTCACTATGTTTATGTTATGATAACTTAGCTGTGACGCTAGCGATCACGTAGCACATCATTATATACCAGCTAGCCCAACTTCAGTAATCCTATAAAAGTCACTGCTCTTTAGTTTTCTGTCTTCATTTCTGTTGGAAGTGATAGAAGAGCTGTATGTTTTAATTTAGACAGTTGTTAACTCTCGGTGATGCTGCAGTGTTTGTTTGATTTTGGGACCTGAAGCATAGTTTGGACCCAGATTACTCCGCGAGGCTCCTGACTAGGGTAGCCATAATGCTCCGACACTGCATAAAGCAGTACGGCTTCGTAGCTTACCAAAGTCAGACTAAATAATTTTTTGACAGATTTTTGAGTGTGCCACATAAAATTGGTTCGAGGTCAGTAAGCACAACTAGAATTCATACATAAGGTGCACTGGATTATAAGGTGTACTGACGATTTTGAGAAAATTAAAGGATTTTAAGTGCGCGTTATAGCCCGAAAAAAATATGGAAACTGTTTTTTAGCAGTCAGTGTTTGTTATTGTTGGACAACACTGAAGCCATAGGGATGTGCTTGGAGTGGACAGAAGTTAAATTTGCTTAAGATTAATTCCTGTGTACCCTAATGTCAGGAAATACAGAAAGTACAGAAACCAGTTGGAGAGCCAAGGATATTCAAGTTCTAACACAGATAAAGTTGTACTCTCATTTCATCAGGCTCTTCTAATTAGTTCTTCTATCTAAAACTACCATAATGAATGTATGTTTCAGTGGCAAAGAGCAGATTGTGCCTATTATTACACATGCAAACATAGATTCATCACATCCCCCACCCACTGTATCTATATTGGTCTCTGTCTTAGTCACATTGTTGGTGTCAGTTGAGCGACCTTGTGTTACTTGCTCAGTTTGTTACCACGTTTGAAGATGTTGTTCAAATAAACACAGATGCTGCTTCTTTTTAAAAACATTCACTGTGGTTAGCAACCAACATGACAGCACACTGCTGCTTTATGTTCCTATTAACATTTTAAGCCACTGACATCTATTAAAAACACACCCTCACTAATGCAGCACTGTGTATTTCTGAAAACCACATGCTCAAATTAAGTTCAGCTCAAGTTAACCGGAACATGAACTGACACTAAAAATTTCCATCGCTGTTATGATAGTTCAGTTAAGTATTTATTAAGCATTTATATTTTTACTATTTAGAATGAAAATGAAACACAGTGTTCTTGCTCTCCTTCCCCTTCCAGAGATGCAGCACATGAGCTTGTGTGAGTTTCTTTCTTAACTGAACATGACATTTTCAGATTTACTCGTAGTACTAGTAGGTGTGCTTCAATTGTGCGTCAGTAAGAAACATTGTTGTGTTTCCAATGCGATGCTCAGTTAGTAACCTGTTATGTTGTAAACTGTTTGGATGTGCTTGTGAAAAATACATAATATAGTACTGACTGGACCTTGCAAACTTGTGGTCTCAAGTACACCCAACAGTGCTCAGTACACCCAACTATGAGGAAAAATCAGGAGGAATGTCTAACTCCAGCTTTTCAGTCAGATGAACCACTGGTGCACCTGACTCACACAGTCATTTATGCAATGCTCAACAAATTCTAGCATTATAGCTCATGGCTAGATTTCCCCAGTTCACTGCAGCTAGCCAGTGATGAGAAACTACTTACTGATAAAGTCACACAACAGAGTACGCCCTTGTTTTCTTTTTTATTTTCTTTTTGTTATAAAACCCATTGTTGGAGTCAGGTACAGTGCAAAAATGACTCCCTTAGACTGTTTTTGAGTTTTAGTTTCTTTGTTTTCCACTGCATCACTGGTTTTGTGTTCTTATGTATTTGAAAATATTTTTACCTGCCAGTTGAAAAAACATTACTCCCCTTATGCTCAACCCTCTGCTGTAGCAGTAGCTTGATGTTGAAGTATGGTGACCACAACTTACAAACACCTGCATCTACATTTGAGTTTGATCATTGGATAATAAGCTATTTCCAAAAATATATTTTTTCAAATTTCCAAGCTCCAAGTTGTTGGAATCAGCAGGAAATGCAGATCATACATTGTAAACTGGACCCAAATGCAGACAGGCACAGGTAGACTGCAGGGAACAAAAATTAAATGTTTAGCTGATTAAATAGCTGATGAAAGTACAACATAACAAAAAGAAAATAATACAAAAGGAAACAGACAGTCTGACAATGGACAAAGGGAGACTAAGACAAACAAATATACAAACAAACTAAGAACTGAAATCTAGACCAAATACATGTCAGAATACATGAAGTACATATTAAACCATGAATCAACATAGAATATTCAAATAATCACTAGTAAGTTCAGAAACATAGAAACGCTGGATCAAATGACCCAGGGCCAATGACTACTTATGACTCTTTGTTGCCCCCTAGTGTTTGATACATCTATATACTCTGAATTGCCCCCATGATATAAATAAAGTTACGTTGAAAAAAAAAACCCAAAACAGAACAAACATAGTTTAGGTCTATTTTAGTAGTAGTATGTTCAGCAGTGTGTTACTAAGGGGAATAACATTATTTGAGCACTTGCACAGTTAAAATTGTATTTATTGTACTGCTGTGTTTTTATTCCACTCTGGTGCTATTGGACAGTATGCCATTAGTGTTAGATAATTTTATGGAGTAATGGTTTTTCTCTAGTTAGGTCACCATTTTATTCATATGATCAAGGTGCAATATGGGTGATGCATTTAATTACTTTCTTTAATTAATGCAAATATTCCATCTGCTTTAGGTTTTTCATTTCCTGAGTGGCTCATTGTTTCCTGTGATTCATTCACCACATTGGACTTCAGCACTGCCTCAAGCTTTTACAAGAAATTTGATGTTGTCAGAAAACAGTGTGGAAGGACTCGCATGGAAAACTCACCTGCCTGCCAGCTCTCCACTAGTTTTACTGTCAACCTTCCTCTCACTCAGAGGAAACCTTGTGCCTAAAATGTATAATTTCCACGCAAGACTTTTCTATCTCCCAATTTCACAAATGTCAATTCAGCAGTTCACCTGAAACTCAGTTAACATCCTTCCCACCATTTGCAAAGCTCCTGGTTTAAATAAAACATTTCTGCCTCTCGCTACTAGTATCTGACTTCAGAGTCCATCTCAGCCACCATGACATCATAAGTGTGGCTTGCATGTTATTTCTTGTTTTTTATGGCCATGATTCATTTTAGAATTTTGTAGATCATTTTGTTATATATTAAAGATACAGCTGTCTTTTTCTTATGCCTGTGTTATGCTTAACCCCTTGACCCCTGCATGTAGAATGGAGGTGTGCAGAAACTCCCTAATTGAGTGTCCTTTTTTATTTCTTAGGGCACTCCACTACGGTGGGACCCTGTATAAGTAGGGTCTGTTTCTTCTGTTCCAGTGAATTCCTTACTGCACTGCTGTGTGCTCTGTGTGGACTGAATTCCTTCTTGTACAAATAAAACTTCCAAAGGACAACTCCAGCAGATTTCCTTTATTTAGGCACTAAATTTCCACAGCATCAAAATTTATGTTGACATATATTGAAATGCATCACTTTACACTACTTCACCAAACAAATTCTAAATGTGGTAATTTGCAAATAAACAAAGGAACTGTAACATTACAGCATTTGCTTTAACCAGAAGCAAATTTAAGACCAACCTGCTAGTGCATGAGCATTTCTTCATTCCTGCGAAAAAATGATCACACTATTAATGTGATCGCTGTACTCTTTTTTTTCTTCCTCTGATATCAGTGTACTGTCTTCACAAATACTATGTCCTGAGTCCGTACTCTGTAAACCAGGGCTTGCCACAGTTTCTATATATTGTAACAGTTTCTCTATGCTTAGTAGTAGTTTTTCAGATGCTGTCACTGTTTCATTCAGGCTCCATTTGCATTCTAAGACTTTTTTTTTTAGATCTAAAGATGGTGCACTAGAGGAACCTTTTTCTTGCTCCTTTGAGTGGAGATCCATTTCACTGGCCTCCACCACTTCCTCCATTTTCATTAATTGCAGTTTAAATTTATCTTTCTCTTCTTTCAATTCTTTCTTGTGTAACATCAGTGTCCCCACCATGTTTTTATGTTCTTCCTCCTTCTTCTGTAATTCTTTTGTAAGTTTGGTCATGTCATCCTTCATTTTTTGATTCTCTGTGTGATCCAAGTTCTCTTGTTGTTGGGTCATAGTGGTTTCTGTTATCAAACAGACAAACAGGAAGTTTCACAGCTAATGTGTTTGATGCACTGATGCTTGAAAGTTTAACAGGACACACAAGAACAACTTAAATGTGACTTAATATTAAAATCTCAGTAGGGCATTTAAATAATACATTTGAATTCCAATGTGTTTCAGTGACAAAAATATTTTCAAAAAAATGGTAAAAACCCATCTGTATTTTTTATTGCTACTTTAACAAAACCTATAAACAGACATATGAAGAGTTACACTGTGAATTTCACAAATCCAAGAAAGTTAAAACTAATACACTGATGACTTAACTTACTGTGTTTGTTTTTCCACAAAGCAAAGATGAGTACAAGGACACTCATGACACAAGCAGTCGTGCTGATGGCAATGCAAGCTGCAGAGCTACATGGAGTCCCAAAAAAATCATCTGAAATATGAGAAAAGGTTAGACTTATGAATATATACAAATATAGAAGCATACCCAAATAAAGTTATTTTCTACCTGGAACATGTATGTGTGTCTCTCTGCTCTGGTTGGTGTTCCTCTGTTGGACTCTGCAGGTGATGTTGTTGCTGTGTCTCTTCTCCACAGTCACTCTGCTGCTGACAGTATAGAGGTCATCAGGACCTCTGAGGGTCTCTGTAGGTCCAGCAGAGAGGAGGTTTCCCTCACCGTCCAACCACAGCAGCTCAGGCTCTGGATACCAGCCTGCAGACTCACACTGTAACACCACTCCACTTATGGATTGGTCAATCCCAGTTAACCTTACAACTGCCTGGGAAACACTCCCTGATGAGCAAAATGAGCAGCAATTGAAGGACAGAGTAATAATTATCACCCCAAGCATGCAGTACTAATGGCTATTAAAACACTTCTGAATAAACACATAAAAATTCACAAAAATAACTTCTGCTTACCAACAAAAAGCTGGACAGTAGTCTCTTTATCCAAATCTGGAAAGTAACATCTGTATATTCCTCTGTCTGTGTGTTTTACTTTGGAGAGTTTCAGTGAAATATCTCCATACTTCAGTTTAGTGATGTCTACTGATGTTCGTCCTTTGAAAGATGAATGCTGATTAACATGAAGGTCTTGACCTTCATGCCACACATGGACAAATCTGGGTTTAAGGTCAGGTCTTGCCCACTCAAAGGTCATACCAGAAGCATCTGAAGCCGGTTTCAAATGGCATGGCAAAATAATGTCATCATCCACCATCACAGTTACTGCCTGCGATGGACCAATGACCTGAATCTGACCTGCAAAGATGATTCCTGCAATGAGACCCTTACTTATCCAAACTTATTTTATAAAATCGTTATTTATATGTAACAGCTGAACACAGCAATTGTATGTTTTTTTCAAACCCAATGCCAATCAGCATAACATGTTATGCTATCAGTGACAGTTAAAATCACCCATTACTAAATATCACTCTAAAAAAGATGCAGTCTTTAATCAAGTCTGTTTATTTTGTTTTGTTTTCCCAAAGTTACCTTCACAGCAGCATGTTAGGAGAAGCAGAACAGGGGCCTGATGAAAAATGAAACATGTGAGACTTGATGTAGGCTGCCTCTTATTTCGCTTTAGCACCATGATGTTCTGTGAAAGAATGAATAAATAATAAATTTAAAAAAAAAAAAAAAACTATGTTCAGACTGTGCTGTATTGTGAATATATAAGAACTACTGCTAGATCGATTAATTTGCTGCAATCCAATATTTAACCTCTTTAATGCATAAAAAGATAAAACAGATGTGTACTATTGCATGCATGTAAAAAATAGGAAGAGGAGAGTGAAAGAACCTGCCAGGGCTGCTTTATAGTCTTCTGATCTAAACTCTTTCAAGTGTGCTGCATCAGATTGGTTGTTGGGGTCACATGCTGCCCTCTTGCTGTAATAATACCAGGCGTATTTTTAATCTGTTTGGCCTGCAGCAGTTTTATTTATCTCTTTCTGCCATTGCTTACTGCATTGAATTTTGCATATTGCAAGTTGGAGGTCAGTTACATAAACTGAGTACATTCTGAAACTAAATGTTATGGGTACAAATATTTTGAGAGATGATACTTCCCGCATGTGGTCAACAGCAGAAATTACTATATCTATAAAGGTCCCCGTCATTGAAATCATTGTAATATATATTCAGCAGCATGAACATTCATATGGTTTATGCATTTATACATACAACAGCATTGGATAGTGGTATAGAACCAAACACAAGCTGACAATTTGTATTACCAGTCAAATGTTTCAACACACCCATTCATCTCAAAAATTAGGACTTAGGACTTATTAAAATCAGGAGCTGACCTTATCAAAACAAAACCAGCTTAAGTTAAAGATGAAGAACTTACAAATTAACAGCTAAATTCTAGCCACACAACCAATCATATGACTACCATTAGCCTACTAGTTTGTTTAAATATGGTTGAACCTGGTAATGAGTTTTTTATTGAGTTGTTTACAGTACTCGGTCATAGAATACAAATGCATGACTTCTGTTTCGATAACTGTCATACTCAACCTCAAAATGAATTAACCACTGTCTTATGCAGAAAAATTAATAGTAATATTCAAATTTCCTGAGTAACTCAATCATAAAATGCTGACTATCAAGCTGTCGATTTTTAAAACAACTATTTAAACACGAAGACAGTGTGCCCCCCATCTATATCTACATGACAACTAATCATCACCAAGTAATGTCAAAACAAGATTTCATACCTGTTGTTGCTCTCAACATTTACTTCAGTGCAGTCAGTAAGTGAAAGTACTATAATAATGTACCTTGATCTAGGATTTATGTAGATCAAAGTACACTCTGCTTATCTCTGTCTCTGGTAATTATTGACTTGCAATACTTTGCCTGCTGAGCATAATTAAAGACAAAGCAATAGAAGTGTGTAAGATGTGAGTATGAGTAGTTCAGAACCAATAGTACATTGCTGTTGTAACTTTTCAGGGGGTAAAGGGTTACATCCTGGAAAGATCGGCAGTCTGTTGCAGACCTAACACACGGAGACAGACAACCATTTACACAGACATTCACACATATGGGCAACCCTACTGCCTTAACTGCATGTCTTTGGAAAAAAGGAAGTAGCTGAAGTACTGGGACAGAACACAGATAAACATGGCGAGAACATGCAAACTCTACACAAAAGTAAAAGTTAGTAATTTATTAATTGACCTACACAAATTAAGCTACAGAAAAAGTGCCGATGTGCATTCCAACAGGAACTGGAATTAATAAAGTACAGCAATGAGATTTAACACCAAGTGAGAGTACCTGTGCAAATGTCTTTACCTTTGAAATATACAGTGTTGTCTGTTTGTTAGTTAGAAAAAAAACAAGCCAAAAACAAAAACAAAACTGAAACCCAGTTGTAATGTATACTGATCATACAAACCAAAACAGCTGATGAGTAGAAATTTGTTTTTATAAGAAAGGCAATCGACACCTGTGCAGTATGTGCAGAACTAGGCTGGTAAACCATTAACAGCTTGGAGTTTTTATTGGAGTTTTTTTTTTTTTTTACAATACCCAGACATAAAATACAAATATGTGGCTCTCAGACAACCTCAAAATAAATGTACTCTTTCTTAATGCATAGAAATTGTAGGTGATTGACCTGCCTTATGTTACAGTTAATTATTAATTCTGTTATTCCATTTTGTCACAAAGAAAGATCAGTAGAGCTTCAATAACTGAGAAATGAGAATTTCATATTTAAAAACATTTTTCAAACACAAAGTCAGTTTGATCAGTGTGTTGTACATTATCAACTACTCAGTCACTATTGCAAGTAGAGTATCTGTTGTCTGTAGCATCTGGTCCACATCGAGCACAAAAGTTTCATATGTTCTCTGCTCGTCATCTAGTTTCGATTTGACATTTAATAGGTCATCTTTTTCTTTCAAAAAGTCAGCTGTGTCCTCTACTTGTCGAAGCTTCATCTTGTTCTCATTTCTCCCGGTCTCTATTCTTTCAAGCTGCTGTGCAAGTTGATCTCTGTGTTTCCCAAGCTCCTTCTTTAGTTCCGTCAGGGTATTAATCACTGCATTTTTCTTTTCCAAGCCTATCATCAATCCAACACAGAAACATGTTAAAAAAAACAACTTTTTTTCAAGTGTAACACACAGATCACATAATTTTGAAGAAAATGTTTACATGAAGGTATTATACTAAAGAAGTATGACACAAAGACAACAGGAACTAGAACTCTATTTACCATACAGAAAACTACACCTGTCTACAACTGCAGTTGGAAGCATGTACTAATAAACCCTCTTGATTAAGCTAAAGATGACATCACTTTTGGGGTAATTGTTGGTAAAGTGAATAATAAATCCGTGTATACCATTTTTAAGACTAAAGTAACTAAAGTAGCATTTTCATAGCATTATCTTAGGACATTCTAAGACTCTGCATATCTGGTTTTCTAATTTTGACCACAAGTATTCAATATGTAGTTGCCTTCAATATAGTATCAGAAAAAGATTAATCGCCATTCCATTTTTCTCTGCCATGTTAAAATATCCACTACATAATGACTGCATAACACACGTCAAGATTATTATTTGACATTTCAAAATCAGTAAGTTGTAGACATATGTCCTTATACACACACACATATAGCATATATAATTTTGTTACAGATTAATTAATTACTTTTTAAATTAATTTTGTTGTTTTATGTATACTTACGCACACAGACACACATATACATATACACGGATTTAGTAAATTCAACATAACTTTCACATCTAGAGATTAACATTTTTGCCCATTCTTCATTTCAAAATAGTTCAAGCTCAGCCAGATTGGATGGAGTGTGTCTGTGAACAACTGTTTTCAAGTCTTGTCACAGACTTTGGACCATTCTAACACATGAATATATTCTTTGATCTAAACTATTCCATTGTAGCTTTTGCTGTATGTTTAGTGTCACTGTCTGTTGGAAGGTGAATCTCCTTTCCAGTCTCAAGTCATTCGCAGCCAACTCCAACAGGATTGCCCTGTATTTGGCTCCATCCATCTTCCCATCAACTCTAACTAGCTTCCCTGTCCCTGCTGAAGAAAAGCATCCCCAGAGCATGATGCTGCCACCACCATGTTTCACAGTGGGGATGTTGTGCTCAGGGAGATGAGCAGTGTTACTTTTCCGCCACACTTAGTGCTTTGCCTTTAGTCCCAAAACTTTACCTTCAATCTGGTCTGTCATGTTATGCTGTGCAGCAGGCAGGATGAAGGACCCAAACGCAGGACTCAATGAAAGGAATATCCCAGGGAGGCAGCTTTATTTAGCCTGTACAAAACCTCTATCATGAGATACAAGGAAACTAAACTAGAAACTCAAACATGAAACTCCACCTAGAAAACTAGGAAACTAGAAGACAAAAACTGGGAATCAGAACATTACCAGAAACACAGAGGAAACACACAGCACTGTGAGGGTATGATGTGATGAAGGGCAGTGGAAAACACAGTGTTTAAATACACAAAGGAGTAACAAGGAAATGAAACACAGCAGAGAGTAATCAAACAAAATGAAATGGGGAGAAAGCAAAACTGAAAACATTAACGAAGGATACAAATCTGTCAAAGTAAAACAGGAAACACAAGACGGGCACGGAGACGTGGAATTAAGAGACGCAGCACACAGGGAAGACAGAGTGAACATGGAGCACAGAGAAAAGAGTAACAAACTGTGACATGGAGACATGACTGACTTTGGAGACACACAAACATAGAGAAGAAAACATAACTGACTCAACATGACACATGAAATACGCAGGAGGAAGATTACAAAACCTAAGATCTAAAAATCACTAAAGTGTAACCAGAAACTAACAGAGACAAAGAACATAAATAATCAAAAACAAAAACACTGAGTCACCAGACTCAGGACAATGACATCGTCTGAGCAGAGCACCTTCTTCCACATATTTGCCCTTACAAGGCTCCTGGCAAACTCCAAACATGACTTCTTATGTCTTTCTGTCAGCCATGACTTCTTGCCACTTTTCCATATAGGCCAGATTTGTGGAATACACGACTTGTAGTTGTCCTGTGGACAGATTCTCCCACCTGAGCTATGGAAATCTGCAGCTCCTCCAGAGGGACCATGGATTGAACAGTGCTCCTTGAGAGGAGTTCAAATGAGCACTGTTTTTAATTAGGGGCATTGGAGTACAGGGGGCTGAATACAAACACAAGCCACACATTCAGATTTTTATTTGCTTAAAATTGTCAGGGGCCAGGAGGAGCCTCGCCAGGTTTGGTCATGACACTGCCTCTGCACCGGGGTCCTCTGCAGTTTCCAGCAGTCAAAATCCGGGGCAGAGGAATACTTAAGGCCAGTGTCGCTTCTCCTTGTGCTCCTTGCAGTTTTGGATCTTCCCAGTCCTCAACTTTTTGCAGTTAGAACTCTCTTTTTCTGCACACTAGACTACCTGCTCACTGGCTGTTGGAACAGGATTGTTACTCATCTGCCTGCCCGTTTGTCCGCACTATATTGGATTGTTCAGCACCCTCTGGATTGGCACTCCTGGTTTCATTCCACACAGTCTCAATTTCCCACCTGGCCACCTA